GACATACTTTATCTTAATCGAGATATTAATAAGGAACCAGCAAATCAAGTAGCTTTTGGAATAAAACACTAATTTTTTTAAAATTAAACACTATCTAAAGATTTGCATCGAAGCGTTTATTTTTGATAGTGATTTTAATCACTGTCAGATATCATTATACTTGATCCAACTATGCCACGTCACCACTGTGCCGCGACCCTCCTGTGCTGGGTTTTTTTTTTCGTGGTACGTCCTGGATTAACTTGTATGATTTATAAAGAAAATATACATTATACAACATATAAACAAACCCTTTTTATTGTTATACAAAAAGGTTTGTTTTGTTTTATTGAATAGTTTTTACTTTTACCCACATAACTTTCCAAGAATGACTATAAAGATAGGAAAGGTAATATTTTGCATTTAAAATAATTATTTTGGTTTTTTTTTCCGAAATCTTATAATATTTTCAAAATACATTAAATAATCGCCAAATATTTAATGATAAAATACAGTGAATATCTGATAACCAGGTAAAATCACCTATGAAAGACAAGTCGAAGACATGTCACATCTAATGTTGGATTCCCATGACTGGTACTTGCCAAACTTCCTCAACCACCTATATTTTTGCAGTACAATGGGAGTTTAAATAGATCTAATTATTTTACTTAATTTAATGGATGGGTGAAATATAGGGGTAACCAAATTTCAAAGTATAATAAATGTTATAAATCAATTATGTTATTATTTACAATATAATTATAGATTCAATTTGTAAATATTTTTTTATTTGTATACAAAATACGTCAAACGGCTCGAGTGAAATGTAATTAATACAAATTATGAATCACATATAGAATATAAAACTAAATCTTTAAAAATAATAATTACAAAAATATTTTACAACATATAAATTTAGGGTTACAAGATTATCAGGCTTAAAAAAGTCAAATAAAATAATTAAATTTTATTAATTTCCAAAAATATTCTTTTTAGTGTTGTGTTAAAAGTATTTGATGTTCTATGATATGAAACAGAAAATGTGTGGACAAGAGTGTGGCAGATATTGGAGCACATAGATTGAAACGAGGACAGGAGCAGAGGAAATGAGATTTGGTCGTATAATAATTTGTACATAAAGAAATGATCGAGAATACGTCTTTTTATCAGAGCATCAAGATTCAAGTCATAATTTTTATTTTGAGGTGTATCAGTGGAATTTTCTACTGATATCTTTTTATAAGATACATATCAAGTAAACTTACGTTTAACCTATTCTAATGACTCGATTAAACCTACTTGCGAAGGATTCTGCTGGAGCTATTATATTATAATATAAGTATAACACCAAGGCGTATACAAAGTTTTAAATAATAAATTATATAACTTATGAATTAATTAATATTATGTATTAAGTAAATATTATTGGATATTCTTACCAAATATCTTTTACCAAATGTATTCGTAAATTATGAATTAATATCTAATTATCTTTTTCATTTTTGCAGGTAAAAAGTTTCATCATTTAACTTTAAAAACTATTAATATTCCTTTTATATTATTCTTAATCATATTTATTATTATTAATACTAGTTATTAATAGTTTTATTGTTACCCGTTCCAAATGAAATAAAGTAATATATTTATATAATCATTTTTACTGTGGGAATCTATCAAACCAAACCCAACCTCTTCTTCCTGGCACAAAGGTCCGGTTTAACCTACCATGGTATTACTGGTATTGGTTGGAATCAGTGTTAAATTTGAGTATATTATAGGAGGTCTGGAGTCCCTCTGGCATTTTGGTCGCACCCTTGGATAATTTCAGAGTCAATTTTCGAAAAGAATTAATTTTTTTTATCTTTGATGCAAAGCTGAGAAGGTACTAATATTACTATGTGTATTTTTGTTGAAAATTCACTCATTAACTAATGTACTAAGGGGGCTTAAAAATTACATCAATATTTTTTTTTTCAATTTTTGATACTGTTCCAAAAGCTTATTTATTGTAATGTATAATTAAAAAATAAAAACCTTACGGTAACTTGTTCTCTATGAGTAATCAACTTTTAAAGTCAAAAATCATGTAATTTTTAATAGATATGTTAAATTTTTTTTTTAATATATTTCAAATACGCATCGAAACGTTTTACGATAATGATTTTAATTTCTGTAACATATCTATAAATTCTAATCTAAAAAATTCCTCAATTCTACTGGACCCTGTTTTTCTGTATTGGTAACTTTAACAAAATAATTTGTGTTAAAACTTTGCTGGGGAATTCTTTAAAAGCTAATTGAACACAAAATCAAAAAAGAAAATATAGTTTAGTATTTCCAACACATGAATATATCATCTTATATTCCAAAAGAAGAATTTGAGATGCACATGTAAGATGAAATCGCCGTCTTCGATGAAAAACTAGTTAGATTTTTATAACCATGTCATCACTTAAAACATTATAATAATAGTATCACGACTGCTAACACATTTTAGACCGCCCTCTAATCTCGCTTGTGCATCGTACTTTAAGTTGACTCCGTTTATTACTTGGTTTCTCGTAGTTTATGGCTTTCTGTAATTTTATATTTCACCATCGACACCTCGTTAAATCGAAAATAATGTTATGACTATAATAACTTGAACGCGTGTCTTTTATACAAGCAGATCTTGATTAAATCGGACAAAATTCACGTCTCATATTGTTTTTAAACATGGTATACTAAGTTTTAGCCGCCTTGATAATAATAATCGTAATTATATTTTCATATAGACATGCTTAAATTAACTTAGTATTTCAAGGCTGGAGTTAACAGAACTTCATGACATGACAAATAAAATTTTTTTTTAATTTATGGTTGCAAAGTTTTAATACAAGTAACAAAATAAAACATAGTTTTCAAGTATTCTTCGAGCATTATTTTATTAATTTATATATTTTTATTTAATATAAAGTAAATTTTTGTGTGTGGAACACATAACAAAACCTAAAGAAATTGGTTCTTGAATTGGATCCTTTTTAATATTTATAACCTAAACCAATTATAAATTTTTATTTTTAGAAATACAAGTACTGGGACTTTTAAAAATAAAATGTTTTCGATTGGATTTTATTTATACAATGACACTAATATAATATTATACGAATAAAAAATCAATGATACGATATAAGTTAAATCGTATCATCAAATGATAGTGTAGTAACTTAAAAATTAATTGATATTAATTAAAAATTATTATATAACGTATTTATAATGACATTTTATATGTCTGTACAGTTCTTTTTAATAAGATAATTGTCCTTTTTTCAAAAATTAAACATTTTTAACAGTTTATAAGACAACGAATGAAATTTACTCTTGAATTTTTAATAATACTTCATTGGTTTA